AGAACCAAAATGTAGGTGAAGCCATAGACATCAAGTTTATTTAATCAATTCCGAGAACAGTATTATTTGAACATGAGACAATTTTTGTTTCCCCAAAAATGCTGCCTAAACATTAGTATATCTTAATTATTAGGAATTTGGCAAAAAGCCAGCAATCCCAATTAGCTCAATTTACTAGGTGTTGTTATTTTTTTGTTGATCACTGAAAACATAATTGCAAGATAGTAATGAATGCACTATAGTTACAGCATTTTATACAGTACCCTGAAAAGAATAATCAAGGCCATGCCAACCCAGAACTATGTTGTGTATCTAGCAGGTACTACATATAAACACAGAATAATTTGAAAAGTACTTATCCGCATGTCAAGGGAAGTGCAAAAAAGAAATGAATTATGCTATTGAAATAGGGATCATACATAGATCAACTAAATATTACAAATGCAATCTGAAATTAAAAAATCAATCCAGATCTAGAGGGAAAACTGTGTTGACATTTTTATGGAGTACAATGACCAGGTAGCAAACCAACAAGGTAACTAATTCAAGAATTGACCATGAAAGAATAACAAGTTTTGTACTGTCTAAAAATAACAACAATTATCAGGCAAGAAATTTCAAACAACTAGATGCACAAAGAATGAGGGGGTGGGGGAATCATATGCTAACATCAAGTGAAAATCAGAGGATTTGATTCTATTCTCATATTTTTCTGAAAAACTAACTTAAAAGAGAAATTGGAAATTGGAGTAGTCCTTAGCTCTGTTGTTATTATGAAGTTTGTGTGTGTGTGTGTGTGTGTGTGTGTGTCATGTTTCAGGATCAGCTAATTCAACATTTTAAATAATTAACAACATGGCTTTATTAATTAATATGCAGTACAATATCCTTTCACCTTAATGGCAGTCTTTGTCAATTAAGTATAAATGCATATATATGTACCAAGATGTATGTACATATATAAACACACAGAGACACAGACACATACAACATAAATTTTATAAATAAATACTTACATACATATATTCAAGTATGGACAAAAATACACAAATAATGGCAATCAGGATCAATTGTTCCTAATGCGTTCACCAGCATTTCTTAACTAGATCACAGCTTACACAAAATAGAAAGTCAAGTTAATACTATGCAAAGCATGAGCCACTAAAATAAAGCAGATAAACTGCCACTATATCTGAGCACCTGTATAGATTATCTTGATCTACCTGACTATTTAAGCTACACTGAATTTAAGAATAAAAGAGGGGTGTTTTACTCAGAAACTGATTTCTGAGCACGTCTACCTAGATTATACTTGGAAGTTCACAACCATGTTACAGAGACAGTATTTCCATGTTTTCAGTTATTTCTCAATCAATTGGTTCTGAGATTATATATTGTCTTGAATCTGATAATTTGTTGACAAGAATAAACTAATAACTATAGATAAGGCCAGGCACTGAGAATTATCTAATAATATTTTGATGAGCAATTTGACTAAAATGGTACATATTCTGTTTCATTCTGTTTCTCTTGCTCATTTAACTAGCTACTTCTGAAATTTCTTTTAGTTTTAGTAAAATCAACAGTATGGAAATGGAGGAATGCAGAAAAAGAAAGAGCATTCATTTAACATCTATTTTCACAGGGCAATATAAATTGCATGAAGTGTTTAAATTAGTTGAAGCATTAGAAGTTACTCAGATGAGTAAATGGATGTAGCAATAAAACTACAATAAATGATTGCAATGATAGGTTGTATAACAATGCAAGCATTTTAACAAAGTAGATTACATAAGTACATTACAAAGTATTACATAAGTAAAGGCAGCATCATTTTGATCCTTTTTGATATGCCATCTTGACTCATTATTACCATTACAGTCATTATGGGAAATCATGTGTTAAAACACAGTTACAGTTGCCCATAATGACTGTAATGGTAATGATATTATTTGGGATTGTTACAGGCTTGAACGTCAGGATCTTATGTAATAATAGAAGATTTCATGAAACGCAGCATATAGAGAGTCTCTAACTTTTTATTTTATTGATTATAATTGCTTAATCCAGGCACACATTTATGCTCAAAGAATCTGCTACAATAGTGGTCAGATAATGAATGGGGTCTTGAAGAAGACAAAGCACTTGGGAGATGGTTTCATGCCTGATGTCGTTTTCAAGAGGTCCCCTGTTGAAATAAGAGAGCAACAAGTCTCCATATGCAACACCTAAAGCATCATTTCCTTCAAGTTTCTTGATTTTGCTTGCTCTGGCTGGATTATGCAAGACTTTCTGCTCGGTAGTCACACTGATTCCATGGATTTACCTTATTTTAACTGATATCAGCATTCTTTCCACTCCGTCACTTTTCTTATTTCTGATTTTGTCACATGATACCACTTTTGTTCTTCACAACATAATCAATATCGGGCAATAAAAATAATAATTAATTCTAGATTTGAAATTATTGTAACGTATACATTATATTTTTCGCTTATATAAAAATGAGAATAATCAATAAATTTTAGTTGAATCCATGCCTATATTAGTTGCCTTGAGTTAAAGAAGGTTTTAAATAAAAACAAGTGAAGAAGTAGTGTTAGCCTTTTTCAAATGTGAATATTGATGTTTTCCTTATAAATAAGGAAATATTTATAAATAAATAAATAATTTATAAATAAATCTGAGCATTTCATTTTTCCTTCTGATAATGTATTAACTTAATCTCCTCAACAACTTTTTTTGTTTTGTTTTATTCAGCTAATTATACCCTGGAACGAAAAAGATAAGTCACACCAATATTTATCCTTACATTTTGTCCTGGCTCTTGACTGAAGGTATGACTGGTGGAAATTGTTATTGTTTTAAAGAAAATATAGTATGTTTCATATACAGGGTAAACCAAAAACATTATATTCTTGATTTATGAAAGTATATATTGAAATATTTTCTGCATCTTTGTGTTTGGCTGAATAATACTAGTTTATCCTAGTTTATCCTAGTTCAAGCAATACGTTTATTCTTTACCACAGATCTTGCTTAATCAAATCAAATATTTCTTTTATTTTCCCTATGTAATCATTTTATTTCTCATTGCTTTGCTCCCAACACTCCCTGTCTTACAAATAAATAACCATACACTAGAAAGTAATTTTGCCTTCCTTTTCATGTGATATAAATTTACAAAGTTAGTACTTTCATTATGATTCATTAATGAACAACAGGCAATCCCCATTTCTTTCAATAAGAATCACAAATACTATCAGTATTTGTGTTGATAAAGTTTTTGTCAGTTTCTAGCAATTGGGATGGACAGATAATTGAACGTTATGTTGAACATTGACTAAAATTAGAGAATCTGTTAGTTATAGTGGTTAAAGCAGAAGACTTCAAACTAGGAAAACATGAATTCTCATCCCACCACAGGCATGAAGCCATTCAAGTGATCTTGGGTCAGTCATTCTTTCTGTATCCTTGGAAGAAGGCAACGGCAAACCACTTCAAAAAATTTTGCCAAGAAACTGCAGCCTTAGTAATGAGTTAATACTGACTCAAAGTTATACACACACATACAGAGAGAGAAAGAGCACATGGTGCATTAAAATGACATTTCAATAGTAACTTAATACTCTTAGTACACACATTGTTCACAAATATTCCTAAGATTATTCCCAAGGACTGATTTCTATTTAGTATTACAAGGAATCAATATTTGGAAGCATAGTCCATACTCTCATAGTTTACATTTAGATCTAAACAACAACAACAATAAAAACACCACCTATCCATAATTTTTAAAGTTTTCCCCAATTATTGATATAATCCAGTTCTATTGAAAATCATGGTGAAGGTTGAATGAAATATTTTGACCCCCATAATATTGTGTAGAGCAGGGGTGGCAAACTTGTGGCCTGTGGGCCGGATGCATCATGAGGCCACGCCCATCCGTTTTAGTGAAGGAGGGAAAAGTTGTGATACATCACATGATGACAACATGACATGAGTTTGACACCCCTGGTGTAGAGAAAGGAAGAGAGATAACTCTTAAATATTGTCAAAGATGATCCCAATTACAATGGCGTTTTTTCTCCTTTCTCTAAGGGTGGGACATAAAATTGCCATTGGATTACCAAAGAATGGTTAGTGATTAAATATTAGCTAAACATTTTTGATGGTGCAAATTATAACAAATGAAACAAGTACTGGGTGGCAGGGAATTATAATAAATTGATAGTTCAAACCAACTCTGGACTGCCATCTACTGGGAATGCTTTAATTCTGGATTTTTTGCACCAAAAAAAGAAAGAAAGAAAAAAGATTGGTTTATCTGTTCTAGAAACCTCTCTCCAACTCTATGATTTCAGGTAATCATTTATGTGATTTTGAGACATACTTAGCATCAAAGAGATTATAATGCTACTTCAATGAACCATGTTAAAGCAGGCAAACTATGAGAGACAGTATATTGATTGAAGTACTGAATTGGAATTTAGAGGATCCAGATTTTATTTTTATTAAGCACAAATTTCAGTGGTAACCGCTGCCAGGTGAAGCATCTGAGATATAAGTGCAATGATAAAATGAAGAGTGTGTGTGTGTGTGTGAGAGAGAGACCAATCTATATGGTGATTTTAACTTTTTCTATAAAAGCGGACATACAATGAATAATGTGATGTATCAGTTTCCCTGTCTGGAGTTGATTGTCATCTAACCTACTTCATTTCAGTCCTATGGACAAGGTTTCTGATTTCAAATTGTGGGATCATTTTGGGATATCTGATGATCATGTCCTTTATGTCCATGTTCATTGATTTAAAGTAGCATTTCAGACCTGTTCCCCCCCCCCTCTTTTCCCCTCCAGCCATTTTGTTTTTTCCTAATTATTCTATCATCCCAACAGAGTGGGAGAAAGGGGTGGGGGGAAGAAGAGGGAGATTGGTATGCAGTATTTTACATCTGGAAAGAATCAGCCTCTGGCACCATCATGAAATCTCATCTCGACCCTGCTCCACCCCATCTCCTGGAGCATTTAAACGGTAGACTTCGTTCCTACTACAAACTCCAGCACAAGCCTGCAGTTCTTTAACATCTGCCAGGTACTTTCCAAGCACGTCTGGCAACCTGACCGCTGTATATACATGCAATCTCAATGCATGCCCTCACAATCTGCATTTGCATTAATGCGTTTGCTTCCAGCTCCTGTGAACTTCTATCTTCTTCGCTTGTTCCTTTTTTCCTCGCCCTCCCCCCCCCCCCCCCCCGCAACCACTTTTGGCATTAGGATCTGATTCTGATCCCTTCGGAAGAACCGGAGTTTTCTCTCAGCTCCACGTCGAACTCAAAAGCGAGAGAAAAAGCTGAACCTCCCTCCTTCCCCCCCCTCCTATTCCTGAATAATCCGTTTCAAGCGAGAAGAGAGGGTTGTAGCCTACAAGCTGGAAAAAAGATACGGAACACCCTTAAGCAGCATCAACGCCGCCGCCGCCGCCAGAAGCTTTCGAGGGCAAAGAGGCGGAAGAATCAATCTCCTTTCTTCCCATTTCTTCTTCGCTCTTGCCGTTTGTAAAGGCTGGTCCAGCTCTTTCTAAAAAACGTGCATCTGCGTTCGCGGAGGGATACTTTGCATCCTTTCATGTGTGTAGCGGGTCTGTTTTTGCTACTGCTACTGGCACCGTTGCCCGCCCGCCTGCCTGATATAGCCAAGCGGCGAGAGGCGCTTGCCGTCAGTCGGTGAGCGGCGCTGCTCGGCTTTCCGGGCTGGGGTTGATGTGAGTGTATATGGCTCTGCGCGGGCGCGCGCGCGCGCTTGATTGAAGGGTAGACTTGTACGCGAAGAGGAGACGCAGGAGCAGGCAAAGCGGCGGCAAAGTAAGCCGCAAAGAGCTGGCTTTTCCTAGGCTCAGCACCCTCGCTTAACTTGGGAACTGTCCACCAGTGTGAGCTCCTGAAAAAATGAACCTGCCGGTGCTCTACCTGTTCGGATTGTTTCTCAGTAGCGGGCAAGGTAGGAGTGCCGTTTCTTCTAATCGTGGTTTATTTACCGTCCAAACCTCTCCTCCGCCCCCCCCCCCCCCCACCATCGTTACAATGCAAATCAAAGATTAGCATCTCTCACCTCTTTGCCACCCCGGCAAATTAAGGGTTGAAACCATTTTTGCTCTCATACCAATTTGTTCCTGAAATCTATTTCTCAGAAGGGGAGAAAAAAAAAGCTGTTACATTTTGTTGTTGGTCTTGTTGAAACGAGGATGAGCAAAATAAATAAATAAATAAATGTTAATTCCAGTTTCTCTTCCAGTCTTCTTATATGGACAATGATTGTCCTTGCTTCTTCACGGCAGATTTTTTTTTTTTAATGCCTTACATTTAGCATGGGTCTGAATGTGTTTCTTAATATATTAATTAAAGTTATTTCTTGTTTTAAAATATTTAAAGGGCAGGATAGTTGTAATGAGGGAAAAAATTTGGAATTCTGCTATATGCAAAAAATCGATCACTGTCCTTTTGTGCCTCTGTAAAGGAAGCTTCCTTCTGAATTTCCTGTTATTTTTCTGGGGTGTTTTGTTGGGCACAACATATGTGTACATATATAGATATGTACACAGCAGTTTTATTGCAAGGCAGACATAACATACAGACATCCATAAAGGAACAACAGTTGCAAGGAAGTAGTAATTAAAAGCACAAAGGTTGATTTATATTCCACTGGATTATTTTTTTTCTCTATGCATTTTCTAACATTGTTTTTTAAAAAATAGGCAGATAATTATTTGGTGGTGTTTCCTAGGTTATATTTGGATTCCACTAGTTTTGATTAGGAGAAGGAAGTGCTGAAGTGTGTTGATATGAGACACTAACAGAACCTCTTTGCACAAATGAATTGCAGCGCTTTGAACAGTTCAGACAAGTTTGTGATACGGCAAAGACTGAACTAAATTGCTAAAAAAATGTTTTTGTCTAATCTGTGAAAGATTTAATGAATTTCATCACAGCATATTAATGTTGAAGTTTATATGCCTTAAGAAACAGACCAAAAGGAAGTGGGGGAGGGAAGGGGAACATATATAGTATCTGTGTGCCATATATTTTCTACTGTGCTCTTTTCAGTGAGATCATCTGTCCAGCAGGGGGTGATAGAATTCCACTGAAATACAGCATTTGTTAATTCTACTCTCTCTGGGCAAGTTGTTTTACACTGACAAGAGTATGAGTCTGTCTTTTATCATTCTTGAAGCACAGCTTGACATTCTGAATTGGGCTTCTTCAATTCTCATCTTCCCATCCCCCCCCCAATGCAATACTTCAGAAACTGACTTCACACAAAGATATGCAAATTAGATGAACAAGCCATTTTCCTCCAAGGCTCCTCTTCCATCACACATATTAGAAATTACTGTCCGCAGTCTAGGGGAAAAAATGTGCCTTTGCAAACTGTTGCACATTGCTAAACTAAATGCCCATTCAGAGTAATCTTGTAAGTCATGACAAGAGATGGAATTGTTTCCTTCTGAAATAGTGATGTAACAAAGTGATCTATTTTTATTATCTCTAAAGCAACTAAAATGTATAGCCCAAATAATGTTCAACAGAGCTATATTTAAGGGAAGAAAAAGGACAGTGCAAGAGATTAGTTATTGCATTTTCCCCTCTTGGTTTGCTTTTGTTTGGTTTTTTTAAATATTTTTTAGATTCAACAACAAATATATCTTACAATGCTTTGTTCAAATACCATGCATAGGTGTAATTATTGAATATATTCATCAGTATTTTCTGAGAATTCAGAGTGGCTTATGTATGATGCCTAGACCTTTATAGTTTCAGCCGGAGAACTAGATCATATATCTTTGGTCAAGAGCTGTCCTTCAGGTTGGATTGCATTTTGTATTGTGACAGTATGGAATGAAGAGGTTCCAGGAGAAGCTGTACGCTGCTCATTTCTTAAGGTCTTTTCAGAGTGCAGTGCTTTGTGCAGTTCTTGTATTCATCATTTATACAGCAATCATGCTGCATAAACTTGCCCTTGGCAATTGGAATCATTTGCCAAATAGGTAATTCACCCTTGACTTGTAGACCCAAATAGAATATATTATTGCTGGCCTCTACATGAAATAACCTTCTGAAATTTGCCTTTGTTCAGAGCAATCTATCTGAAACATGCTTAAATGCTTTTCTACTGTGAGATATTCAAGAGGCTTAGTAGAGCATCTAATTATCTACCATAGATAATTAAAATGTTGGCAGCACAAATTGTAGATTTAACAATATTTTCTTGACTACCTAAAGCCTAACAATAAAAGAGGAAGAAGTACTGTTTATTTATATAAATCAGAAACATCCTGATAGTAAAAAGGTAGAAAGAATAAAGCTACACAAATTTGGGACAATTTCATTGAGCAATTTTTTTAAAAAATAAAAATAACGGAAAACAATTTTAAATAATGCAAAACCATTTCTACACCTTTATCTAAAATAGAATGCTTTATTTTTCAATATTTTGAAAGCAATGCAAGCATACGGGAGGAACAAATAAAATAGGCAGTAATCACTGGGGTCATTTGCTTTCAATATATAAATTGCCAAGGTCCAGGTTTTATGTTGGCAATATAGTTGCTGTGGATTTTATGAAGCATGGTGAAAGCTTATTTTTTCAGACACATTGTAAAGTTAGCCTAGCAGAAGGATAATGTATTTCTTTTTAAGCAGTCATGATATTTTGAGCTTAGCAACTGGGTTTTCAAAATGACCAAAGTGAAAATTGAAAATTGACATCAGTGCTCCGTGATGTCATAATTAGATAAGGAACACAATGTTCCTACCTTTAATTTTAATCAGATATGTAAAAAAAATGTTACTTTAATGGAAGCAGCCTGATAAAATGCAACCACAAAGATGTTTTTTTTAAAAGCAGGATTTTTTGTTCATACAGAATTTAGGTTTTTGATTAATAGTGTAAAGGTATTTAATTAAGTCTTTGTTTATCATCAACAGTGAGCTGTTGGACAGCATTACTTGGTCTGTTGTGTGGATGTTTGGGTGGTTCAGGGGTGGAGAATTGTGGTGGGTGGGAGTGTATTTGGGGATTGTTATATGTGTTGGACCTGGTCTTTGGGTGTTAAGTGAATTTTGTTGTATGGGTATATTGTGTATACATGTACAATGACAAAAAGTTGTTGTTGTCATTATTATTATTATTATTATTATTATTATTATTATTATTATTATTATCTCAAATTTTTGTCAAAATCTATACCGTATTTTCCGGCGTATAAGACGATTTTTAACACATGAAAATCTTCTCAAAAGTCGGGGGTCGTCTTATACGCTGGGTGTCGTTCTCCTGTAACCAGGCAGATCAGCCCGAAAGGCTCTGATGAGCCTTAAATGGCTCTGGCTATCCAAGCTCTGATAATCCCAGCTTTGCCTGCTAATCAGGCAACTCAGCTGGGATCACCAGAGCCATGTAAAAGGAAAAAACTTTTTTCTTTTACATGGTTCTGGCGATCCAAGCTCTGACGATCCCAGCTGGGTTGCCTGCTAATCAGTCAACACAGCTGGAAAAAACTTTTTTCCTTTTACATGGCTCTGGCGATCCAAACTCTGACGATCCCAGCTGCGTTGCCTGCTAATCAGGCAATGCAGCTGGGATCGCCAGAGCCATGTAAAAGGAAAAAAGTTTTCCCCCTCCAGCTTGCTTACCTTAGCTGCTAGTCGCAACGCTTGCCTTGCTTCACTTGCCTGAATCCATTCTATCAGCAAGCCACTCCCTGCCTGCAATCAAGCAGGCAGGGAGTTGTGGACTTCAACTCCCAGAATTCCTCAGCCAGCAAAACAAAGCTGGGTGAGGAATTCTGGGAGTTGAAGTCTACAAGTCTTAAAGTTGCCAAGGTTAGAGACCCCTGTTCTATTGGGTAAGTTTTTTTCCCCTTTGGGAGCTTTAAAAAAAATAGTTAATTGGGGTTTTTTTTAGTTGTTCTTTTTTAGACCTAGCCATTTAAAGTTTAGGAAGTTTTAAATTTAATTTTCATATAAAAATAAAAAAAATAAAATAATATTTGTGCAGCTTTCTGAGATTTAGTGTGTTTCTGTAATGTTTCACTCTAACTACACAAACACACAAAATCTCACAAAGCTGTATGTGGAATTTTGTGTGTGTAAAGTGTGAAAGTTGTTTTTTGGGCTTTTTGTGGCTGTGTGAGGTTCCTGCTTGTTGCAGGGGCCATTTTGGGTCTAGCACAGCTGCTTTTACATTGTGGGTGAGCCAGTTGTGTTGTGTTGTGTGTGTGTAAAGTGTGAAAGTTGGTTTTTTGGGGGCTTTTTGTGGCTGTGTGAGGTTCCTGCTTGTTGCAGGGGCCATTTTGGGTCTAGCACAGCTGCTTTTACATTGTGGGTGAGCCAGTTGATGTTTTTTAATTTTTATTTGGTGTGCGTTGGAAGAGGGGTAGTCTTATACGGCGAGTATAGCCCAAACCCTATATTTTAACAGGAAAAGTCGGGGGTCATCTTATACGTCCAGTCGTCTTATACGCCGGAAAATATGGTATTCAGAATAGAAAGTGATTAAGTTGTAATCCTACATATAAATGCTGACAATAAATCCACTAAATTTAAGGAATTATAATTCAATATACATATTGTACTAATTATCTATCTATCTATCTATCTATCTATCTATCTATCTATCTATCTATCTATCTATCTATCTATCTATCTAGAATGCTGATTTATAGAGAAGGCTTAAAATTGTATCTAAATTTTAAGACTCTGATATTTTTTATTTATCATGCTTTTTACAATTGAAAGAGTACATGATTTCTACACTGTGATAAAATATATTGTCTGTTAGGTCTTGTTGGGCTCAGTATGCTCAGTTATGTTATTGAGATAGACTTTTTTCCAGTTACTTCAGTTTACGTGAATACATAAATGTTTTCAGGAAATTCACTACTAATCAGCAACATGTCTTCAAAAGAGGCTCAGCGAGTGGCAAACTATAGTAGTACAATA